AGCTCTACACCTTGTTATCTCAGATTCTCCAGCATCTGCAGTTCCTACTATCTCAATTAGTGAAAGCATTGCCATGGAAAATGCACCAGAGAATAGATAGCTGCCAAGCTTTGTTTAAATTCAAACCAGACAAGTCAAACTGGATTGGTTAAAACATTGCCAATAGAGAATGCAACAGAAAATGGCCATCCTCCAAGCTTCTCTTAAATTGGAAAAAAAAGGCAAAACGTGGACATGTTCTGTTTGCAAAGGACAGGTGTCCTAAATGTGAATATAGCTTCTCAAACAGCATACAGCATCTTCCACAGCTTTCATATGATTTTCAAATAAAACATGAATCAAGAACAAGTATTAAGATATGAATGAGCAAAACAAAAATCCACATTATTTTGTTCAAAACAGAACTTAGTTGAATTCACAGAACATTTTATATCACATTCTTTCCCACTCAAATTTCATTCACTGCACTCTATAGTCACTTTCAGCATAAATATGGCAGAAAAATTAGGAAGGGCCTAAACATTACTTCCTTTTATTTTCAAACAACTTCCTCAACAAGTTGAAGAAAGTGAACAGGAGGCAGGCTTTGCAAAACATGATATGCTTTTCCCTTTATGGAAATGGGCAAAATACTTTTCTCAGGTGAAGCTTCCACTAACTTTAAACTGCACATTTAGATAAATTTGCCATTTCAAATGCAAAACATCTGACATAATCACAACTTAAAAGAATTCTTCCATTATATCTGACTTGGGTTTATTAAATATATTGAAAAAGTGAAATATAATCAAGAATTTTTAATATTCAGAACAAAACCTTTTCATTTCAAAACAGATTTAGGTTAATTCATCCTAATTAGGTGGAGCCCTGGAACTCGGGAAGAATAATATACTTAGCAGCAGTTTTTCTTTATAATAGAGTCATTGAGATGTACAGCATGGAAACAGGCCCTTTGGTCCAACGCATCCATGCCAACCAGATATGCTAAATAAAATCTAGCTCCATTTGCTAACATTCGGCTCATATTCTTCTATACCCTTCCTATTCATATACCCAATAAATGTTGTAATTGTATTAGCCTCCACCACTTTCTCTGACAGTTGTTTTCAAATCTTTCCCCTCTTACATTAAACCTATGCCCTCTAGTTTTGGACTCCCCTACCCAGGAATAAAGACCTTGACTATTCACCCTATCCATGCCCCTCATGATATTATGAACCTCTATAAGGTCACCTCTCAAAATCCAACATTCCAGAGAAAATAGCCCCAGCCTATTCAGCCTCTCCTTTATAGCTCAAATCCTCCGACCCTAGCAACACCCTTGTAAATCTTTTCTGAACCCTTTCAAGTTTAACAACATCTTTCCCATAGCAGGGAGACCAGAATTGAACGCAGTAATTCAAGAGTGGCCTAACCAATGTCCTGTACAGCCACAATATGACCTCCTAACTCCTATACTCAATGCACTGACCAATAAAGGCAAGCATATGAAATGCCTTCTTCACTGCCCTGTCTACATGCGACTCCACTTTTAAGGAACTATGAACCTGCACTTCAAGGTCTCTTTGTTTGGCAACACTCGCCAGGACCTTTCCATTATACCTTATATACACATAAGTGTACAAGTCCTACCGTGATCTGCCCCATCAAAATGTAGCACCTCATATTTATCTAAAGTGAACTTCATCTGCCATTCCTTGGCCCATCTGATCAAGGTGTCTTCTTTGGTGTCATCTGCAAACTTATTAACCATACCTCCTGTATTCACATTCAAATCATTCATATCAATGTAATGTTATATAAATATATTCGTAACTGATTTTCTTCACACTCATGAATTACAAATTGACTGCACATATTCAGAAAAAGGCAAGGGAATTTGCCCAAGAAACAAAAGGAATTATTTTGCAAGGTGGTCTAGCTGTAATGCACCCAGTTTGTTTAATATGTCATTGTATTTGGTTGTTTCCTTTTAAAAAAAAACTATGATGCAACAAAGTACTAGAATCATTAAATATGGAACATAATTAAAAGGAGCACAGTTTGATATTTTCTAGGGGTCAAAAACAAGTGTCATAATTTTTGAAACTCACTTTTTCTGAAAACATACTGTGCATGAAACATAAACAGCAACAGAAACAACGTTCCAATTCTGATTGTCTGTCAATTTTGCGCATAATAGCTTTGAACCTGAATCACAACGGACTTTGTGTTTTCAGTCCCAGATGTTTATCTGCCTCAGTTAAAGTTTGAGGATTTCTAACCAATCTGCAAATGCATTATACTCACTTTTACTGTTGTATTGTCCCCACTGTTCACCAGACTTATCACATCATGTGTATTCAAATCATCATTCCCAACCTGGATTTTTTTAAAAATTTGGTGTCACTTTGTCAATATTGCTGCATTTACCTGTTATTCTCTCCGATTCTTTTCAACTGCAAACTGAAATTCACATCCTTTAGTACTTAAGAATTGTTGAGGTTACAGCGCAGTGACAAAAGTGATAAGTCAATCAGATGTGCAGGGAAAATCCAAAATTCCTCAAAATCCCCTTTCACAAACAAGTATTTGCATTGCATTTCTATTGTGCATTCAAAACATTTAAATTCAACAACATGATCTTTATCATAGAAAAATGTTTGCTTTAATTATATGACAGTCATCTGGGCTCATTAAATAGTATTTCTGAGATAGACGATATGGATTCAAACCTCTAGTCAATACAAATTTCTTATGATACCTTTTACACTTCAGGAGGAATGCTGGTATCTCAGGATCTATTTGAACTATTCAAAGAGCATGAGGTTCTTTTGCTGCTGTGGTTTTATTTCTTCTCAAATTGATAACATCCAATATTATCAATGCACACTTACAGCAAAGGACTCCATTTGAGCCATTAAGTGGCCTAGTAATATGGAGGACCAGGCTAATACCCTACAGTTTCAAATCTCACCACAGCAGCTGGCAAAATTTAAGTTCAGTTAATAAATATTTGGAATATAAACAATCTCAGTAATGGCTACCACAAAATTATCAGTTGTTATAAAACCGTATTCAGTTCACTACCATCCTTCAAGTAAGGATAGCAGACTTCCTTCCCTGATCTGGCCTACATCTGACTCTCAATATCCTCTGAAATGACCTAACAAGCAACATTCCCTGTAAGCTGCGTGACCGCTCCCAAAGTTCGATGCACTGTGATCAGATTGGAGCACTCACTTCTGGCTCCAGAAGTTGTGGTACCACAGAGATCTCAGAGGTCCATGCAGAAGAAAAGAAAATTAGGGGAATACTACTAGCAAGCTACTCAGTTTAAGGACTACAGAAATAAGCAGCAAATGGTGGCCCTGCCAGTTATGCCTATATTCCATGTAGGAATAAATTAAACGAAATGATGGGTCTTCAACAGACAGATTCCTCACTGGAAAAATGGTGATTGGGTATGAAAAAGCTCTCCCAAAGACAAATTTCCACATTTTATTTTTAGGTTGAGGTCAGGGTCAGTGGTTAATGCTGGGGCCTCAGCGCCAGAGACCCGGGCTCAGTTCCAGTCTTGGTGAATGTCTGTGGAGTTTGCACCTGCACCTTCTCTCCATAATCAGCCATGTGAGAGTTTCCGCTGGTGCTCCAGTTTCCTCCTACAGTCCAAAGATGTGCAGGTTAGTTGGATTGGACATACTAGATTGACCTGGGGTGTCCAGGAATGTGTAGGTAATGTGGGTTAGCTATGGTAAATGTGGGGATTGCCTCTTTCTGCACTGTAGGGATTTTATGATTCTAAGCTACTTAGCAAAGGAGCGTAGATTCTAAACATATGACGACAAACCACCTCCCCACAAGCATTGTGCATGTTTATATTTGCTATAATTCTGCATTAATCTCAAGCTTAGGGATGTGTCTCAATTTTGCACTACCTTAAAGTGGTGTACAATTGCACTCCGAATTATTTTTTGCTGATGTTGGGTTTTGATAGCTTTTGATGCTAGGCACTGTAAGTGTATACAATGATAAATGCTAACAAATTAAGCAAACAAGTTAAAAATTGACCCAATACGTACTGAGGTGTGGAATTTTTCCTAAACATCATGAAGCTTGGATTGCCTTTCAATTAAATATATTACATTAAATCTAGGAGCATCTGATACCAACTCTGGGATACAGCACTAATTAACTCTGTGGATTTACTACTCCCTGATTACACTCAAGAGCCGAGATTATAGGAGACTATAAGAGTAACGACTGAATTTATGAACACAAAATTCATCAATAGATTACAGATTTTTTTTTATTTTAAATATTTAAGGTGTAATTTAGGCAAAACTCAGTCTTCTGAATCCTCAGACATTTTATGTGCTGAAATGGATGCAGTATATGCTTCACATTAACACAGCCAACCTCAAAAGCTGCAAATTATGATTCCTGCTTCAGCTTTAAAGTTCAAAAGCAGAAATGTTCAGTTCAGAAAAATTTAGACTGTCCTGACGTCTGAAGCCATTGGTCACTTGTCTCGATTGTTCATCTATATCCTGCAATGCAGAAAACACAGCAAATAAGACAAACATATTTAACACACAACAATCCTAGCTCGAGCTAAGGCAGGTAAGCACCAACACAAAGTCTACATTGCAAATATTTTTCTTAATTCTTTGGGCATAGGAATAGTGTATGCAGAAATTACTGAAACTATAATCCAGTCTCTTGCAGCTCCCACTGATTTGACTCATAAGTAGAATTAAAAATATTGGTGGAAGTGGGAAGAAACTTTTCAGAGCGCAAAGTAAAAAGTGTTTTCAGAATAGGGAAAACAATTGTATTGAATTAGTCCAGATCTTAAAGAACAACAATGAAGCTGTGTCAATAGACTGAGTAGCCACTTTCTACTCATACATGTCTTAGATCTTATAAAAGATATGCCAGGAAGAACAATATGTTCAAGTTATATAGGCCTGTGTGAATTAATCTGGAGACCAATTCCTTCAGATGGATATAGAGGTCAACATTCTACATATTTCAAGTCAACAAAGTAGGCATATGAAAATACCATCATGAAGCATCCATTGATTGATATTGTAATACAATTATTGATAAAATACTGTTGAAAATTTATTCATTAACTAGACTTCATTAGCACACATGCCAATTTTAAATTCTTTTCTTCACCCATAATCCCCCAATGTTGTCAGTTGGTGTCGACCTACAACACAGCAACAAACTCTTTGTTCTTATGACTCCACCGCTGACCTTTGTTTCTTCCCGACTATTGGACAGCAATGCTCGTGTCACCCAATAATCTTCAAGAGTTCCATCACAAATCATACAGTACTCTTATAGGACCATATTTCAAGATGATCTTTGAGCAAACCTTTTGCCAGTCCTCTCAAACTTGCTAGTTACTTTTTCATAAACACTTACTCATTTTCCTTTTTATTTTTAAGCCCCTCACCAATCAGCTTACTAAAATCACTACTATAAACTGTAATGAAGGACCAACGTCAAGAATACAGACAGCACAATAAAAAACACTGATTGTAGGACAAATCAGCACCAATGTTCATCCTGTTAAACGCCAAAGGCTTGTGGGAGACAGGAATTTGCTCTTTTCAGTTACTGAAAATATTTGGAAGGAGAATACAAAAAGTGCATCAGATAAAACATTTAGAGCGATTGAAAATGAAGTCTTTTAGGGAGCAATTTTTGTTGTTCATTTGTGAGCACGGCTGGCTGGCCAGCATTTACTGCCCATCCCAAGTTACCTTTGAAGAGGTGGTGATGAGCCGCCTTCTTCAATCACCGCAGTCCATTAGGTAAGAAATTCCAGGACTTTGACCCAGCAATATACTGAAGGAATGTGAAACATTTCCAAGTCAGGTTGGTGATTAGCTTGAGGGGCACTTGCAGCTGGTAGGGTTCCCACCTATCTGCTGCACCTGTCCTTCTAGATGGAAGTGGATGTGGGCTTGGAAGGTGCTGTTTCAGGACTTTTGGTGAATTTCTGCTGTGCATCTTATAGATAGTAACATTGCTGCAATTGAGCATCAGTATTAGATGGAGTGAATGTTTTTGAATGTAGTTCCAATCAAGGGGACTGCATTTTCCTGGACCATATCAAGTTTCTTGAATGTTGTTGGAGATGCATTCATCCAAGCAAGTAGGGAGTATTCTATCAGTCCTGATTTGTGCCTTGTTGATGGTGAACAGGCTTTGGGGAAGTTAGGTGGTGAGTTACTCACTGTGGTATTCGTAGATTCTGGCTTGCTTGTGTAGCTACTGTATTTATATGGTGAATCCAGTGGAGTTTTTGATCAATGCTAACCCGGAGGATGATGATATTTGCAGACTCGGGTGATGGTAACACTATTCTAATGTGTTAGATTGTCTCTTATTGGCAATGGTCATTGCCCGGTATTTTTGTGGCACAAATGCTACTTGATACTTGTCAGCCCAAGCCTATATTTTGTCTAGGTATTGTTGACATTTGAACATGGACTGCTTCAGTATCTGAGGAGTTGCAAATGGTTCCGAACATTGTGCAATCAGTAGCAAACATCCTCACTTCTGACCTTATGCTGGAGGGGAGGTCATTGATGAAGCAGCTGAAAATGGTTAGGTAGTATAACAGAAAAAAGAATCATCTGAAGTTCATACAATATGCCCTGATGATGGGTGGGAAACAATAATTCTTTAAGAACTTGGCACTTTCACAGATAAATAAGTCAATAATAGCATTTTAAACAAGCAAATTGCCCAGAAAAAATAAGTTTTCCTGCCATTCTATATCACAAGTAAACAGTAGCATTCACTCTATATTCATAGCAGAAACCAATTCTATATGTTGGGTTTTGGGCAGCATTACAGCTACTGAAAACGAAACACTGCCAAACACCTACACTGTCCTACACCTGCCACTTCAATACAGCACCATGTTCCATGCCAGCATTTGTGTCTCAGGTCTGCTGCAGTGATCCGGCTAGGTTCAATGCAAGCTGGAGGATTACCGCCTCATAGCTTTCAAGACTCAATAGTTAAATAAATTCAGAACATGGACATCCTCCTGTGTCATTAGGCCTCCCCTACACCCAGGTGCTGTCTTGTACAGGGGTGCTCCCATCACAACAAATCTATTTTCAACCATTTACACCTCATCTAGCATTTATCAGTCTCTTGGCCTATCATCAGCAAACTCTTTATTCTCTCTCTCTCTGCTCCATAAAATCTATTTACTCTTCCAAACCCATCATCAGCATAAATTCCTTTCCCAGCCACTTTTAGTCCTGACTGCTGGACTTGAAACTTGAACTCTGCTTTTCTCTCTACAGATGCTGCATGACCCGAGTTTCTCCAATGTTCTGTTTTTAGGATTAAAACCGCTCTGTGGTGAGAACATTGACAGATAAGTTAAATTCCCAAAACATTTTCAACAGCCAAAGACTGTCAAGAATACTGATCATTGATAACAACATTACTTCATTATTCTTTAGCATAGTTACGAAGAAACATTTCTACTCAACTTGCAGTTAGAGACAAACTCATATTGCAGAAATTTACAAATAACCTGTGGCTTACCATTAAAACATGATTGCTTCATTCATCCTTGAATTTCCCCCTTACATATGGAATACGGTCAACTATTACTCTCCAATCTGTACTGTACACCAGTGCCACACAACCAACGCCTCCCCATGTTGCCACTGTTGGAATCCTAGAAAAATAAAAGATTATATATATAATCCAGAACGTTCTCATCCAGGTCTGAAGCAATACAATGTCTTTGTTTCAGATTGTTAATTTTTGATAAAATTAGTAAACTGTGTTCCTAATCCTTTGCACACAGAATTGTCCACTGGACTTGTAGATTTCATCTAAACACGGTGAAATCCAAGTATGCAAAGTTTACCATAACAACCAACCAATCATGATGACAGATTGGAAAAAAGATCTTTAACAGGGCTAGGTAAGTCATAGCTTCTATTTTTTGGAATGTGAGACAGTGATTCTTAGTGAGAGGTTTTTATTTGACTTTTGCACACATAGATTGCCAGTTCTACCATAGCAATGACGCAGCACAAAATAACATCACAAACGACATTGTACACAAGTAAGATCATGGCGTAAGATCCATCCTCACTTTATTCAAATTGTCTGCAGGCTTCGAGGTAGCTGACCATCTTTTCAAACCGCTCCCTCCATTGTCTAATTTACAAGATCTAATAGTCACCTATCCAATTGTGGTCACAGAACATCAAGCAATAGCTTCTCTTCTTGCTGCCACACCGCTAATCTCAACAATGCCCCAAGGGTCTGTTATCGCACCGTCCTATCTTCCATCTACATGTTGCCTAATAGCAACACCATCTGAAAACATGTCAGGTTTCACACTTATGATGATGCCCAGGTCCACAGATTCCTCTCAATTTTTTTGCTGCCTTTATTGGCAGTTCCGAGTGACCTGATATTTCCTTGAATTAATCACTGGGGCAATCAAAGTAATTGTCTTTCACCCCCAACATGAACTACATTCCCCTGTCATTTTCTCAAGATAAAGTAGATTGTTTGCTACCTCTACATCCTGCTGACCCTGAGATGCACTATCAAATCACTAATTCCCACCTACTTCAATCTGTATGCCTCAGCCCATCTTTCATTGAAATCTGCACACCATGTAACTTATCTCAAAATTTGGTCATGCCAGTTTTCTCCTGGTTGACCTCCTATTTTCTATAAATGTACTTATCTAAAGTTCATCTACCAATATCCCAACTCGCAAAACATCATGCTTTGCCTGTCTACCTTGTGCTCATCGATATGCCTCAACTTCCAGTGTACCAGTGCCTTAATATCAAAATATTCATCCTCATATTTAAAAGCCTCCAAAATCTTGTATCTCCCAAGTCCTTTAACTTCCTCCAATCCTACAGCACTCAGTTTTACTTTCATTTAATCTGGACCCCGTGCCTCAATATTTTTTTTCTCACCACTGGTGACTGCATCTTCAGTTGCTAACCCCCGAGGTATGGAATAACTTCTCATTAGCACTTCTTCACTAACAGCTTCCCTACATCACACCTATTTGACCATGCTTTTTGATCACATTTCCTAAAGTCTACTTTGGCATAGTATTTAGTTTGGTCTGATTTATAAAATAATGAAGTGCATAGATAAGAGTGAATAGCAAAGGTCTTTTCCCTATGGTATAGTTCAAAACTAGAGGGCATTTTTTTTTTAAAAAAGGGGAGAGAAGAAGGATTTAAAAGGGACCCCAGGGGCAACCTTTCACACAAAGGGTAGTTCGTATGTGGAATGAATTGCCGGAGGAAGTGGTAGATGCAGGTACAGTTGTAATATTTAAAAATCATTTGGATAGGTACATGAATAGGAAAGGTTTAGAGGCATATGGGCCAAAAGCAGGCAAGTGGCACTAGTTTTCGTTTGGGAGGCTTGTTTGGCATGGATAAGCTGGCCCAAAGGATCTGTTTTCGTGCTGTGTGACTCTATGACTATGACTCAATGTAAGTGCAAGTTGCTGTAACATGCGTGAACTATTGCAGTTTGTTGCTGAAAAAGAGGGTAAACAGAGTTCATTCTAGCAGGTGCACTATTCTCTGGTCAGTAGTGCAAATCTTATGAGCAGCTCATGAATCTGCACCATTCCAGCTGTGGCAAATACTCCAGGATATTCCTAATTACAGCCTTGTAATGTTGGAAAGGCTTTGTGGGATCAGCCTCCACCCTACTCTGCTCTTTCAGTCATTGGTGACCCTCAAGATCACAACAGTGAATAACTATGGGATGTTTCAGAGATAGTAGAATAACTATGGGATGTTCCTGTCTTTGGTGGTCATGGACAAACTTTTCTGGTATGTCATTAACTGGCACTAAAGTGGTAATATTACCTTCTACTGTCAGCCCAAGTCTGGACGTTATTCATGCTCTGCTGTAACGTGGCATGGGTTTTTTTAAATGACACAGGAGAAGTTTTTTTAGCGTAGTGGAGAAGAGAATAAATATCAGAGATAGTAGGAACTGCAGATGTTGGAAAATCTGAGATAACAAGGTGTAGAGCTGGATGAACACAGCAGGCCAAGCAGCATCTAGGAGCAGAAAGGCTGACGTTTCGGGCCTAGACCCTTCTTCAGAAAATATAGTACTTGCAACCTGAGCAAGAGTTGCAAAACCCACAAGAAGCTGAGGAAAATTTACATAATAATATAAGTAAGTGAAAAGGAGGTTGTGGAGATGAGAAAAACAAAATTATTTTACATATTAAAGGAGGTGCAACAAGGCAATCAGCAAATAGTTTTCCCATCACCATGATGTAAACAAATAAACATTTAGGCAGTTACAGGACCAGGATAAGTATTAAAAACTATTCTCAGACATCAGACTATCAGCAACACATAACTAAAATTTTACAAGGTATCACAGAACAAAATCAAACACAACGATGTTAGGAAGACAAGTAAAGCTGCACCAGTTAACCAAAACATTTGACAGCAGTTCAGTTGCTACAGGAATACCTTGCTCCTCCATAGAGATTTGACAGGCTGTAAACAGTTTTACAATATACAATACACAGATCTGAGAATCACATTTATGAAGAGATTAGCTGTAAGACACAAAAGAATACTGTACCTAATTTTTTGAATCAAATTAGGTCAGAGCAGTGAAGTTGAAATCAGAATTGTGACAAGTTAAAAACTGGTTTAAAATTAACTTTTAGATTAACTTGTCAAATAAACTTACCTAGTAATGCAAATATTTTAACTGATGCTTTTCAGAAAGGAAATGGAGTCTTTGTTACAAAATGTAAACTGCAAAACAAACTGATCCATATAGCACCATTGAAGGGTGCTACAAATGCTGAAAATCAGAATCAAGGTCAAAAAGGCTAAAAACTCAAAAGGTGAGGCAGCATCTGTAAAAAGAGGTATTGTGTTCTTTCATCAGAAGTGGAATGAGTCAATTCTACTCCAATAACTTGATATGAAATAGGTAACTTTTCTCCACTTGTTTATACCAGCCTCAGATTTAACATGAATTGCACAGAGGAAATTGCAAATAGTTAGTGACATATCCTTACTGCCATCAGTAATAAAGTGTGTTGCCCAATCGATATTTATGTATTAGAAATAAAACCAAAGCACTGCAGATGTTTTTCTTTCAAATTTCCAGCAAAGTGAAAATACTCAGCAGGCCAGCAGCATCTGTGGAGAGAGAAAGAGTAAACATTGAGTTGGAAATGACTGCATAGTGAAGGAAAGCAGAGATGCAATGGGCTTTAAAAAAGTTAAGGGAGGGGGAAAGAAAAATACAAAGGAAACTCTGGGATTAGGAAGAGGACTGGAGAGATTAAATAAGATATATTTATTTTTAAAAAGACAAAGGGAGTGATAAGAGACAACAAGGTGCAGAGCTGGCTGAACACAGCAGGCCAAGCAGCATCATAGGAGCAGAAAGGCTAAAGAATTGTAGCAATGAAACAAAGCATTTGTGCAGAGCAAGTGACAATGGTAGAATAAAGAATAGGTGTTTTTGAATGGAAAAATCATGAGAAACAAAATTCAGACCATTATGTAGCAAAAGAAATTTAAAATGCGGGGCAGCATTCAAGGTCTGAAATTGTTCAGTCCAGAAGTCTGTAAAGTGCCAGATCATTTGCTGCTCCTCGAGCTGGACTACTGCAACTGCCCAAGGGCAGAAATAGGAGTAGCAGTACAATGCTGAATTAAAATGGCAAGCAACCAGAAGCTCATGATCATGCTTCAGGACTAAGCAGAGTTATTCCACAAAGTGGTCACTCAATCTGCATTTGGTTGCCATAATGTGCAGGAGGCCACATGGTGAACAGCAACACAGAAAAAGGTGATAGCAACTGCCCTTGACATCAAGAAAACCTAGCAAAACCAGAGCCAATGGAAATCAGAGGTAAAAAACTATACACTGGTCAGGGTACTCTCTAGCACAAAGGAATATCAGGTTCACAAAGGTTGAAGATCAGTCAAACAGGTTTAGGGCATCAGTGCAGCAGTTCCTCAGGGTAATATCCTAGGTCCGACTATCATCTGCTGCTTCAATGACCTTTCCTCCATCTTAAGGTCAGAAGCTGGGATATTAGTTGATGTTTAACACCATTCAAGACTCCTCAGATACTGAAGGAGTTTATGTTCAAATACAGAAAGTCCTGGATAATACCTATACTTGCATTGACAAGTGGCAAGTAATATTCATGCCACACATGCCAGGTCATGACAAACAAGAGAATCTAATTATCGACTTGATTGGCAGCAATCCGCAAACATTCACTCTCTCCATCATCATTATATGGTAGCAGCAGTGTATCATCTACAAGGTGCATTGCGGTGATTCACCAAGACTCTTTAGACAGCACATTACAAACTTAAGAGACAGGGCAGCAGTTACACGGACACACCACTACTTGCAAGTTTCCCTTCAAGCCACTCAGCGTCCTGAGTTGGAAATATATCACTATCCTGTTAGTATCACTGGGTCAAAATTCTGGAATTTCCCCCCACAAAGACATTGTGGGTGTACCAAGTCAACTACAGCAATTCAAGAAAGCAGTTCACAACCACCTTCTCATGGGCAAATGCTGGCCAAGCCCATGAAGCTCATCCCCGAATAGATTTTTAATAAATCTAAAAACTGAAAACATAAGGAAATCGCTAACACACCAGAACAGTGTCATTGGGGCCTTGGAAGGTGGGACAGACAAGGCAAAAATCCTTCTCAATGCTACTTTCTTTCAGGTCTGAAGAATTAAATTCAATCAAAACAGTAACTTGGTATCTCTATGCACAGATGTTTAGAGTTTCGAGTATTTCCAGTAGTTTGTTTTAATCACAGAGCGTTACACTCTCAATCCAAGGGCATTCCACTCAAGGTAAAAGTGAATCACAGCCACGAATATTTCAAACTACTACTATCAAGGATAAATTCGGAAGTACAACAATACTTCAGAATTTATAAATAAATGAGGAATGAACAAAATAGCCAGCCAGCTGAATCAAGGAACCACAAAAGAAGTACCTGCGCCGCAAGAACAGTTATATTTTGTGTTGAAGACAAGCCAGGATACAGGGAACGTATGTACAAGGAGGACGAGAGGAGAAAGGACTGTCAAGGTGAATCCAGCCTCTGGCCCTCCTGCACAGCAGGGACTTTACCTGCGGTCGGAGTCCAGCGCCCAGCCATTTCTATCTGTTCTCAAAAATCAACCTTCCCCATCACTTTAATTACAAACCCAGCCTCTGTCAGCTCGCGTCCTTACCAGTTTTTTATCAACTGGACATATCTGGATCCGATAAATTTCTCCAACATCTCGCCAGTCCCTCACAGACCCGCTGCACACCGCAAAATGGCGGCACCAAGACCCCACTTAAAGGCCAGACCTGACAGCGCCTGTCAGAAATAAGACATCGAAATTCGCACTCGAAACAAAAGTTTTCACACCTTTGCTCCCCTCAAACCTACTTCTAAAAAGTAAATAGTTCCTAATTCCAAAATTTCAAAAAATTATGCTACAATTGGAATTGTAAATATGGTGGGTCCTGCCAGAGATATTTAGTGAAGTTTCTGTCTCGAGTTGCTCGATGTTGCCCCCTTTGGCCAGAATTAGATTTGACCGCAGATAATGTAGATTCCTCGGCTATGGTTATTTATTGCTATCACAACTATCTTCATCAAAAGTATTTGAAATGAGTAGCCTTTTGTTTCTTTTAAAAAGATTTGAACAATAAAAATAAAACAAAGTACAAATCCAACAAAAACAAAACAGAAAACTGGATTTCGCAAAAAGTTGTGTTCTTTTGCAGAGGAGCTAATACCAATATATTACCCCCCCCTTCCAAACCACTGGGCTGTGGTGTAAAATAAAAGAAACAGCATGGGTTCAATCCCTGTACCACAGGGCTTCCCCATAATCGGGTTTGAGAGCTGAAATTTTGGGGTCTGATGCTCTGAGGGAGCAACTGCCAATCCCTCTCCTGAAACGTTAGCCTTCCTGCTCCTCTGATGCTGCTTGGCCTGCTGCGTTCATCAAGCTCTACACCTTGTTACCTCTCCACACCCCAACTGCTTTACCAGGTCTTCCCCCTCCCCAAATTCTCACCAATGGGTCATGACAATTTTCAAATCATGAAGTGAGCTAACAGTGGGAGAAGATTTGGGAAGCTCCACCTATGGCAATTCATGGAGACCTGCCTCCTCACCCTACCCTATGAGTGTGAAGTAGTTACCCTCATGCTGTACATAACCAATTATCTCTCACTAATGGGAAAGCGATGCCTGTGGTCCTTTGTGAACTATGGCTCCTGACATGCATACGTAAAGGATCCACTCATAGAATAATATGTGGAGGAGTCTGGGAGCAGAGAAAGGTTGGGAAAACAAATACACTTGCTTTTCAATATACCAATGCAATTATCATATCGGGCAAATATGCGCATGGCTCCTGTCCAAAATTAGAAATGTTTAAATTGCCAAATACCTTTTCTTCAAAGAATTGTAGAACTGTAGTTCTCTGATGGTTCTGCTCAAGTCATGATGGAAGAATAGGAGAAGTTAGCAGAAATTCTCCCTTTTTTATTCATTCAGGGAATGTGGAATTCACTACATGGGCCAGCATTGATGCCAATCCCTAATTGCCCTTGTGAAGGTGGTAGATAGCAGGCTTCTTGAACTGCTGCACTCCATTTGGTGCAGGAACACCCAAGTGCTGTTAGGGAGGGAGTCCTAGGATTTTGACCCAGTGAAAATGAAGTTAAAATATATGTATTTTTGAATCAAGTGAGTGGCTTGGAAAGAAACTTGCAGGTGATAGTGTTCCCATGTTTCTATTGCCTTTGTCCTTCCAGATGGTATTGGTTATGGATATGGAAGGTGCTGTCTAGGAGATCTTATGAATTTCTGCAGTGCATAGTGTGGATGGTCATACTGTGTTAATAACGAATATTTGAGGAAGTTGTGCCATTCAAGGAGGTTGATTTGTCCTGGATAGTGCGAAGATTCCTGTTGTTAGAGCTTCACTCATTCAGGAAAATTGCAAATATTCCAATCAACTCTTGTGCCTTGTAGGCAGTGGTCAGGTATTGGCGAATTAGGAAGAATCTTGACCACTGGACTGAATCTTACAGTTTGAGACCCGTTGAATTTGGTGAAGTGATTCTCAATGGGAAACTGAGTGAGTTTTCACACTAGATTTTATCAAATTCAGTGTATTAATTGGCATTTCACATGTAATGGATCTAATTTCCATCCCACCTCACAACATACTGTTCCTGGAGTAACTCACTGCTCACAGAGATCCTGCAATTGAATAGCTTCCTTGCTCTTGGCACCATTTTTAAAAAGGTCATTGTGCACCTGGGCAAGCACTGTCAGTCTACAGTTCTCCTGAACGGTTCCTCCATTTGCCCAACATGGTAGACAAGGGGAAATTGACCCTGATTTTTGGGCATTGTCCTGTTGGATGAGATGATGCACAGGAGGAAATTTCTCTTGCTCCAGAATCAAAGTTATCACCCATGTTAAAGCCATTTCTAGGAACACTGAATGCAGGAAGGGCAACTGTCCTTTTCCAAGCTGCCAGCACAAATGTCACAATTTCTCTCTGATACCTCAGACTCATTCTATCTCTGCGACTGCACCCACCTCCCACCAAGGCTTATGGTGTACCATCTAATTAATGCATGCAGTATCTTGCCCACACACCTTCACTCACCGCAAACTGTAGCACCACTAGTCCTGCATGCCCTTTGCGTTACCTACTCCCTCACTTGGGAAACCTTCCAACCTGCACAAAGACTAATAGGTAACCTATATACTTTCATCTTTCATAATATCTGCCTCTCTCATACTCCAGGAGCAAACAGCCCTCAATAAGGAAGAAAGAGTCAAGATTGGTGATATGTTGCCCGTCAAATGGCTCCTCACCCTTCACGAGTACAGCATCTGACTCTGACTGCCTCAAACAGCGCATGGACTTGTATCGGAGGCTACCCTTGACTTACTGTACGGGGATGGCATGGCAAAATTAACTAATATGAACCAGATATCTCTGGCTGAGAAGGCAATATGCAAAAAGGCAAGGCAGGGATGCTGTGAGCATCCAAGTAGGCTCAGGTTAGTGAGCTAGATTGCAGATATGCAGCCTGGTCCAGTTCATGAGCTGGGTGCATGTCCCTGAGGGCACGGTGTCCTTATTGCAAAATTACAGTGATGGTTTCCAGTGCAACCGAAAGTGCAGCATTCATGTATTGTAGATTCTTAGAGGCTGGCACACATCAGGTATCAAAGTCTGTGGATATGAGTGCATGGGTGCATGGGCACATGGAGCGTACCCTGAAATATTGGTGCCCAGTTCCAACGCAGAGGTCATTGGAGAAAGGGGGGAGTTGAACCTGCCCAGAACTCTGGTTCCCGTGGTGAGCTTTCAGTTAGTTCACATGGTGAGTTGGGTTAGATCTCAACCAGTGGCAAGTTGAATTGTTAAGAGTTAGATATCTGCTAGCTCAGTTCGCTGGATGGCTGGTTTGCAATGCAGAGTGATGCCAACAGCATGGGTCCAATTCCAGCACGGGTCCAATTCCAGCACCTGCTGAGGTTACCACAAAGAAGTCTCCTTCTCAACCATTCCCCTGACCTGAGACTTCGGTCAAATCACCACCAGTCATCTCTCTCTAATGAGAGAGAGCAATCCTTTGATCTGGTAAGACTTTTTAACAAGCAATGATTGTCAGTTGGGAACGTGCCACATGTCACATCATTCAGAGCTTAATAAGATTTCACACAGAACTGTGGCTGGTCTATTTCAGTTTCTGTCAATGGTAACCCCCACAATTTTGACAGTAGCAGATTCATCAACCATAATACCATTGAATATCAAGGGCTATGGTTAGATTCTCTTATTGGAGATGGTCATTGGCCTGATCAACGGATGGCAACATTTGACCATACAGGTGCCAGGCAAACCTAGATATTGTCCAGGTCTTTCTGACTTTGTCCATGAACTGTTTCTGAGTCACAAATGTTGCTGAACATTGTACAATCATTGGCAAATATCCCCACTTCTGACATTACAATGGTGTTAAGGTCATTGATGAAGCAGTTGAAGATGGTTGGGCCTGGGACACTCCCAGGGGAATCTCCTGGAGCTGAAATAACTGACCCCCAACAACCACAACTAACTTTGTGCCAGTAGAGTTTTCACTCTGATTCCTATTGACCCCTGCTTTGCTAGGGCTCTTTGATACAACACTCGGGTCAAAGGTAGGTTTGATGTCAAAGGCAGGTTTGATGTCAAAGGCCATTCACTCTCAACTTACCTCTGGAAATCACTTTTTATGTCTAGGTTTAAACCAAGGTTCTAATGACATCAGGGGCTGAGTAGCCTTGGCAGAACCCAATCTGAGCAGGTAGCAGGTTATGGTTAAGGGAGTGGTGTTTTATATCACTGTTGATGACATTTTCCATCGCTCAACTGATGGTCAAGAGTTGACTGATGAGGCAATAATTGGACAGGTTGGATTGATCGTGTTGTTTCTGTACTGGATGTTTTCCACATTGTGGGTAGTTTCCTGTGCTATAGCTGTATAGGAACAACTGGGCCAAGGCATAAGAAGTTTGGATGACACGTCTTCGCAAATATGGTCAGGTCCCAGAGCCTTTTCAGTATCAACTGTCTTCAGCCTTTTGTTCAGATCATTTGAGTGAATTGAATTGGCTGAAGACTGACATCTGAAATGCTGGAGACTGCCGGGGGCGGGGGTGCAAAATACATGCTGTCACTGAGAATGGAATATTTGTGGAGCCTCCTACTCCAGTGAGTTAATTGTCCACCCACCATTCATGAACATAGATCTGATCTGTTGGTTGTGCAATCACTTAGCTCTGTCTTGCACTTGCTGCTTATTCTGTTTTTGTTTACATGCACATAGTCCTGTATTGTAGCTTTGCCAGGCAAATACATCATTTTTAGATTTGCCTAGTGTCGCTCATGGCTGTCCTTCTGCATTAATTAAGCCAGCACTGATTCCCCTGGTGGGATACAATCAAGCAGATCCACTTCTGGAATGGTATGAATTTGTAAAGCACATTGCTGACTAACTGGTTTAGGGTTGGGGCTATCATAGAAGGCATTTCTCATTCACTTGTGGGACTAGAATTTATTGCCCATCCCAAATTGCCCTGGAGAAACTGCTGGTGAGCTGCCTTTGTGCAGTACTGCAAGGAGACCCACAGTGCCATTGGTATAGGAATTCCAGGATTTTGACCCAGCAACAGTGAAGGAATGGCAATATATTTCCACATCAGGATGGTGAGTGGCTTGTTGGGGATCTGACCACAGTGGCGTTGCCATGTATCTGTTGCCGTTGTCCTTCCACTCGGAAGTGGTCATGGGCTT